GCGGGTACGGAGGCTCGGCGGGCGCCAGCTCCAGGCCCGGCTTCTGGTCCGCGTCATAGCTGTTGGGGGGAAGGCAGTGCGGGGGGTAACCTGGAGGGGCGAGAAGATAGTGGGAGGAAGATGAGGCGCTGAAGAGGGCCTCTCCCTTGGGGCAAGCCACTCCCCAGGCTCTCCAGCCCCCTGCTCCTTCGCTGCTCGTGAGAGATACGCTGCTGGTAAGACAAGGTCGCTGTCAGGCATCTTTGTTCTTGGTGCCAGGCTGCATGGGTTCAAATTCTTGTTGCACAGGGTACAGTAAAATTCCCACCTCACTCCCATGGAGCACAGAGCCCCCCACGGTTCTACTGGCTTTATTTTCACCAGCTTCTTCAGTGCTTACAGCCACACAGAAAAGGTCTGATTTTTATTGCACCCACTGTACAGAAAGGGAAACTGAGGCACATAGAGTCTAAGCTCACCACTAGAAAATGGAGCCAAGATTTAAACCTTGGCAGTCTGACGCCAAAGCTCACGCTCTCTCTATTCTGACATTATTCTGCCATTCCAGTCCTGTAACTTTTCTGAGTCTGTTTCCTTGTCTACAAAATGGAGCTTATAATTGGACACGCCTGCCCAGGGTTTTGGAAGTACTGAGTAAAGTGATGCCTAGAACCATGTATTAAGCTCTTACTGTGCACCAGGTTCTGCCTCGATGCTTTACCCATGTTAACTCATTTAATCGTCACAGACTCTTACCAAGTAGGTACTATTATAATCCCCATTTTACATGTAAGGAGATTGAGAAAGAGAGAAAGGGAGCACACAGTAATTGCTACATAAATGTTAGCTATTATAATTATGCATTTTACTTGCTTGAAAAAGTGATTTCACGGAAGATTATTTAATTGTCTGCCTCCCCCACCAGACTGTGAGTTTCCCAGGGCTGGATCTGTGTGCCCAGCCTGTGCCTGGTTCAAAAGAGAGATGCTGTGAATAGGTGTTGCATGAATGCATCACAATCCTGTTAGACCCCCACCCCCACCCCAGGGTTGCTGGAAGACTTAAGAGGACAAGGGTGTGGCATATAATAGGTGCTCCAGGAAGGGGACTTCCTTGTACTTTCTCTGGAGCCTACTTTGTTCCACTAGAAGCCATCTAATGGCCTAGCTGTAAAATGAGGGATAATAAAAGCATCTAATTCATACAGTTGTAGTAAGGAGTCCACGAGTAAACAATAAGTGGAAAGTAAATGGTAACCAATAATCCTATAGTACTTATGTGTCAGACACGATTTTAAGGGCCTCGCACACATGAATGCATTCTCCCCTCATACTCTAAGGTTGCTACCATCTTACATATGAGGAAACTGAGGCACAAGGTAGTTCATTAACATACCCAGGGGTGCAAGCTAGTAACTTAGTCAGGATTCCAACCCAGTGCCTGGCACATTGTAAACCCACAGTACATGTTGGCCATTATTGTTAAGTGATAATAACAACCTCCCCAGAGGGGTTTCTGTGTTGCTGTTTTCTTGGCGTCTGCCTGGACATATCCTGCTGCTCCTCTCTGTTTCCTCACCCAGGATGTGTCATTTCTACCTCGTGTTCCTGTTAGAAAACTTCTGGCGAGGAGCAGGAGTTCAGTGAACCAGGCAGTCCTCGCCCAAACTGGGCTCTCTGCCTGCAGCGCCATCTGGTGGCAGCCTGCAACACTGCAGCATCTTACTCCCTGTCTCTGGGAGGCTCTCTCATAGAAATAGGAGTACCTCCAACAAAGGTTGCTCATCTAATTGCCTTTGGGACAGGAATTTGTGGGGCCATACCTGACACCCAGCATCTGTGGAGTTTGGCATGGGCTGTGGGGGTGGTGTGGGGATGTTAGGAGGAGGTAGTTCTAACTTGCTTTGTGACCTTGGCCAGGTTCTTTAAGGTCTCTGGTTTGGGTCTGTAAGGGTGAAGGTTGACTGGGATGCTCTACAGACCTCTTCTGCATCATGCTGAATAGATTTGTCAGTGATGCCCATTGTCCTGTCCCTCACCCATCAATTCCATCTCATTCTCAGATCAACAGACCTCTCCCTAGCTGTGTGATCTCTGGCAAGTTATTTAACCTTTTTATGTCACATCTGTATAAGGAAGCTCATAATAGGATTGAATGAATTAATGCATGTAAAGCCCTTAGTACAATGCCTGGCACACAGTAGCCTCTCAAGCTGTTGTTATTATTATCATCATCATTATTATCCCTTAATTTCCTGGTGATATCCTTCCAATCTGCCAGAGAGTAGGGGACACACATGGGTGTCTCAGGCACAAGGTAGTTAAGTAACATGCCCAGGGCCATTGTGTGGCCTTGAGCCAAGCACCTCACCTGTCTGGGCCTCAACCCTGGAGAATTCTTTAGGACACTATAAGCTATCCTCTAACCGTACAAGAAACCCAGGTGGGTTTTAGGTCACCTGTCCCACAGGTGACTATAGAAGGCTGAGCTTGCTGTTCCTCAGCTGACACAGTGAGACAGGGCTCTCTTGTTTGAGTCCCCATAGAGGCATGGGGGCCCAGGGACCCAGAGAAAAGAGACCTGGCTTTCATGCTGGCCCTTGTACTTGTACCCTAGATCTGTGACCTCAGACATGTCATGCGCCCTCTCTGGGCTCAGTTCCCCCATTTGAGGGACAGGAACTAGAGCTACCCCTGCATGTGGGGTGATGGGGTGGAGATGTCTTGTCCATGGCACCTGATAATGACTTCTGGTTTTCCCTGCCTAAGAGTCTTGGTAGTTCAGATTGGAGGTCCAGAATCCATTTATAGAAATCCAGCACCCAAAGAAGTAGTGAGAAGGGAATTTTATGAGCATTGAAGTGTTGGACCCTCTGTAGACACTGTCTTATCCAGCTATCTGACCCGTTGGGGTGAGGGTAGGGGAATCTCCAATAAGTGCTGCTAGGACTGCTACTATTCCAGCTCCCACCGTGCGCCAGGCACTGCACTAATAATCCCAGAGGCCCAGAGAGGGGAGAGGATTTTTCCAAGGTTACTAGAGGAGGTATTAGGGTTGAAACCCTTCAAAGCCTGTGTTTTCCCCAAAACACCTGAGTGGGCATGGAGACCTGCTGGGGGAGGAAAGATTTTTCAATCAGTGGGGAGAGGGGTGTTGGATTTCTTCAAATAATATCCACCAGTTGGCCTGTGTCTGAGGGGATGATGGGGTGTTGGGGGTGGGGAGAAGCTGTTCTAGAAAATGCTTCAGCCCCTTGTAAATTTTTGTAAATAATAATAATTAATAAAAGTAACAACTAACACTTACTGAGCTCTTACTGTGTACAAGGTACCCTGCTCAGTGCTTTAATTAGCTTGTGTCCTAGGGAACACAATGGTCACCACTTCTGGTGCCCTAGTTCTACAGAATCAGGCCCAGAGAGGAGCCTTGGCCCACCTCAGGTCACAAAGCAAATCTGAGTCAGCGTGAGACTGGCTTCCTGCCTCCCAGTCCAGAGCTCCTTTTCCCAGGCTCTCCCAGATTCTCAGGGTTCCAAACTTCCTCCAGGGAATTTCCAGCCCCAATCCCACTTGCCTGTCTCAAGATGGGCAGAAAAAGAGAGGGCTAGGTGATCGGCCAGCTTCCCAGGTGGCCCACTTTCCTGAGGAGAGCCCAGCCCTGCTTGGTGGTGGGGGCTGGAGGGGCTGCTGCCTGGGTATATTTAGAGCTGCTTCTTGCTGTGCCAGGGCCTCGGGCCTCGAGAATCAGCTCTAGCCAGCTGAGCAGAAAGCCAGGTCTGTCAGCAGCAAAGTGGTATAAAAATAGTTTCTCCTGTCTGCTCACAGAGCTGGGCAAAGGGGCTGGTACCTCCCCCTCCCCTTATTATAGCATCTTTGTTAGCGGTTCCCTGGGCACTGGACCAGAAATGACACCCACTTCCTCCAGGGGCCTGACAGCTGATCTACCTGCCTGTTGGGGAGGGGTCCCTGAATCCAGATGAACAGAGGCAGAGTGAGGTCTGGCCCAACATGACCAGGGCTGTATTGTGTGGTGCTCATGACCCCCGACCCAGAACCAGGGAGTGTCTAGAGGATTCCAGGGCCCCTCCCCACCATCCCTACCTCTTGAAATCCCCCCTATTCTGTTTTTTTTCTGACTGTGACCCAGTTCCTGTGGCCCACAGGGAGGTCCACAGCTCTGCAGAAATCAATAGGAAAGATTTTTCAAGGGGTCTGGAGATAGGAGTGGGTGGCTGAGGGTCTTGAATTGCCCAGCACTGGTTGGTGGAGCAGCCTCCTGCTCCCTCAGGGAATCTCCAGCAGGCCATTTCTGGGCCGCCTCCTGGAGACCAGGTGTCTTACACAATGTGTGCCCTCTCTCCAGGCCTCCTGCTTCCTGCCCTACCCTCTCTCTGCCCCAGAAGGGTGTAATCAGAGAGCCCATTCCAACCTCTCTTCCTGCCCAAAAGCTGGCAGTGGACACTCCAGGGGAGACCACAGCTGGGAAGGAGGCCAGAAGTTCTGGGGGCCTCATCTCTCTCAGCACTGTCTCACTATGCCCCACAGAGGCCTTCAGGCTGTGGGGGCCCCTAGAATGTGGATGAAGCATCCACCAAGGAGGTGTGACAGGGTCCACCATTTATGTCCTTGTGACCTTGGGCAAGTCATGGCCCCTCCCTGGCCCTAGGTTTGCTTCTGTGGGTCAGAACTAATACTCCCGTGTGCTCATTGCCTTTTGCCCAGTCTATGTGTGTGTGCGTGTGTGTGTGTGTGTGGGGGTAGTCTTTGGGATATATGAATTGCTGTGCTGACATAGGGACTTGATGTACTCTCCTGCCCTCCTGCAGGAAACACAAACTGAGACTGTTCAGAGTGGAGGCCCAGCTTGGGCCCTCATGTATGCCTTATGACCCTAGGCTTTAGGGGGGACTGTGGGCCCCAGATTCTATATCCCACATGGGCCCTGTTATTCCACACCCCCACTGACTAATTCTTAGGAAAACCAGATTTCTGCATCCCTAGAAAATCAGAGCTGAAAGACATCAAATTCAGCTGCTTGATTTCATTAGAGGGAAACTGAGGCTAGAGTAGGGAAGATTAGTCCAAAGCCACAGATAAAGCTAATTATAGGTCTAAGACTTGAACCTAGCCAGCCTTGAGAATAGTTCTGGACATAACCTGGGACTCAAAACTGGACCTGGATTTTGATTCTGGACTCTGATCCTGAACATTGAAATTTGAACTTGGATATGGATTTGTTCTGAATCTTGGACTGGACCTATAATCTTAGACATTGACCTTGGACTTGGACCTTGGACCTAGGCTTAGATGTAAGGTTGGATATGGACATTGGACCTGGACCTCAGATCTGGGCTTGGACATTGGAGTGGATCTTGGACTTGGACCAAGACCAAGATGTCCCAGAAAGTTATGGTTAAAGAAGACCCACATGGGTCTGCTTTGTGTTATTGAGGACCTCCCCAAACCTTCTCTAGGCTCCCTCTGCCAAGGGATTGGGGCAGCCCTTTTGTATCCCTGCTTCCCAATGGACTTTCTGAAGTGTAGGGTGGATGTGTTGGGGCATTTCAGCTGGGCTCCCAGGCCTGGCCTGGAGCGACTCCCCGGCGCCATCAGAGGGAGTAAGAGGAAGTGGGCACTGGTGTAATGTGGTCAACTAGATAAGCTCATGGGCAAAAGTAGGAGTGCTTCCTCAGCCTGCTAGCAGGGGGGGTTTAATGTAGCTGTGG